TACACCACATGCTGAAGCATGGAGTCTTGAGAGGGCAGAGACGAGATTTAGACCCAGTTCTGCTTCTCTTTATAGTCCATGCCATGCTACCTTAGTTAAAGGTTAAAGTGAAGTGGATCGACTTCATTGCACAGGTTTTTATCCCATATGCCTCGGTCTCTCTCTCTCTCTCTCTCTCTCCGCAAAACAGCTAGGTGTCTGTCGAGAGCGTCGCACAGAGTACAAAACTCCGTAGCTCCGGCGACGATCCCCATGAAACTGTAAAAATTGCACTCATGAACTAAAGGGCGCGGCCTTGAAGGGAACCCAGAACGGGAAGCAAACTATTTGACCACCTTGCTATGAAGACCTCCCCCACCCCTCCCCAGTCATGTTTGTCACAGCCTCATGTGTCGTGTACAGCCAACAATTTTCTAAAACAAGTTAGTCTTAGTCGAGGTTTCAACATCACCGCAGTCAGATTTCCCCATAATTGTTCCGTTCCAGTGCCAGTAAAAATCAAATGAAATGTCCCTCACTGTCGCATTTGAAACACTGGTAAACAAACAACTAGTCCCGGAACAGTCCAGAAATATGCGCTCGCAGTAAATGCGTATTTCAGTTGCTAGAGGTGCCAAAGCCAACAATCGTTACCAGAAATGCAGTTTGTCGTTGATGGAAGTAGTCGGGCACGAAAGGCTGGTTACTGTACACATGTATAATTATTACATAAGGTATTTCACCAACTCATACGTAAACCGGCTACCGGCCACATTGAATACCACGACACAAAAGCTGCACAAATGAAAGGCATTCTACAGGAAAAACTCAACTCACAGAGCTGCAACCAAGCACCAAGCTCAGTAGCCTATACCGCAAAACAGTAGACTACCATTCTTCTGTGGAAACTGTATTAGCAAAGCGCTGTCGGCAGCAAAAATAACTTCCAAGCTTAACATTCTGCCAAGCCTTTCCTCCATTTTGACAAGAATCCAATACTGTTCAACATCTTATACAGATGTCCTTCCCTGCCTTGCCGCTCCATCCATTGACAGAACATACTCTTGTTTCCCTGTTCTCAAGACGTGTCCATAGATGGTGGATTATCTACCCTTTGAAACCAGTAGCAGTACGCCTTTTCATTTATATCCAGATATCTCCACTCCGTCTTTTATCTGCCCGTGATCTTTCCATCATTCTTCTGTCATATTAGTTATTCTGATATCAGATGGGCTGACTGACGATAGAAAGTCCTGCAGACGATAAGACCAGCGCATCGATCCGGCCTCACCTCCGCCAATGCAGGCAATACCGTCTGTGGAGGAGCCGGGCATGTTCCCTTTGGCCGAAAATGCCCACACCGCTTTTCTCTTTCAAAGATAATCCTCTCATTATTCTATGTGGTTTCTTCTGTCACACAACAGGCCTTCTATGCTTCTCGTTTCTGTGACATTACTCCCTATTTCTCATTCAGAATCCTCAGTTTTGTTTTGAAGGGGTTTTTCCTTCTTTTTCTTTTTTTTATGAATTAGGTCACCAAATATATGTGTGTGAGTGTGTGTGTGTGTGTATGTGTGCGTGAGAGAGAAAGAGAAAGATAGACAGACAATGTGCGTATATTTGTCTCTTATTTAGAATTCTCAATTTCGGTCCTGTCCATCCGTTATGCTCTTTTCTGTGTGTTTGTGTGTGTGCGTGCAAGCGTACGTGTGTGGTTTTATGTTTATGTGGATGAGTTTAGCCTCTGGTGTGTGTTTGTTTGCGCGCGCACGTGTATGTGTGAGTAAGAAAGAGAAAGATAGACAGACAGACAATCTGCATATATTTGTCACTTATTTAAAATTCTCAATACCTGTCCAGTCCATCAATTATGCTATATTGTTTGTGTGTGTGCGCGCGTGCGTGCGTGCGTGTTTTCATGTTTATGTTGATGAGTTTAGCCTCTATGTGTGTGCGCGCGCGTGGACACATTGCGCTCCCGAAAATCGTCATCTTATTCTTCGCATTCACAGGCTGTAACTGCGTCGGAAAGCTGTGGTTGTTCGTCCACCGACTTAAGTCTTGTCGCGAAACCTGAGTGTTGCATACACATCCAGTTTACACATCTAAGTTATCTGGATGCAGACTGTGGATTCCTTGCCTCTCAGACAGAAGCACTCCGACTTTGAAGGAAGTCCCCATTTAGTCGACTCTTATGACATGCTTGTTGGGGAGATAGTTGGTCTTTTCTTGTTCTTCCTACAATGAGTCCCCGGCACTTACACGGATAGCTCCTGAAAATGTATGCAAGCATCGTTTATGTGTGGGTGTGCCTCCCTCGGCCCAAACCACGTAATAATTTCGCATGGTTTCTATCATGTTATGGGGCGTCGCAGGTCGACCCATCCTTAAATCGGTACCAGGATGGCTGTCCTAGGGAAGTAAAGACGGCCGGCGTAATGCTGACCACATTACTCACCTAGTGCCGATTGGTCTGTACAAAATATGGGCGCTCTTTCCATAAGCCCAATGCGCCTAAGGCGTAAAAATGGATCTTTACTTTTTACTTTTTATACGCGGTCAGTTCTAATACGCGAGCAGGTAATTAAAACACCCGTTTTCACGCCTTAAGGGAATATAGGGCTAGACCTATATTTTTATAAACCAATCGGCACTTGGTGGATGATGTCGTCAGCATCACGCCGGCCGCCTTTTCTTCCCAGGACTGCAACTGGTACCCACTCTAGGCTGGGTCGACTTGGGGAGACAAGGTCATTTTTGAAAACAAATTTGGCTTCGTCAGGACGCGAACCCACGACCTTCTGATCCGCAGGCGGGCCTTCTGTACTGGTGATAAATTAGTGTATAATAATTTACAGTCTACTTAGATCTCGTTTTTTGTCTTCTAAAGTCCACACCCAGTGTTGGTGGTAAAAATGTCTGTCCGCAATTGTTTGTCTTCTGGACTGACCATGATTTACAATATATATTTTTTATTGCCGCGATAGCAATCTCTCATCTGTGATCTTTAGCTTCTGTTGCCTGCCTTCCTCTCAAAGTTATTCCCTAACACGTCATGCTTTGGTCTGCTCCTTTCACGCGGTTTGTCCGAAGAACGTGGATTATCTCCCCCTGATTACAGTAAATATTCCACTGTGTAAGTTAACTTGTTTCCAGATATCTCCACTCCGCCTTTTATCTGCCCGTGATCTTTCCATCATTCTTCTATCATATTAGTTATTCTGATATCAGCCGGGCTGACTGACGATAGGAAGTCCTGCAGACGATAAGACCAGCGCATCGATCCGGCCTCACCTCCGACAATGCAGGCAGTATAGTATGTGGAGGAGCCGGGCGTGTCCCCTGTGGCCAAGAGTGCCCACGCCGCTTTTCTCCTCCAAAGATAATCCTCTCATTATTCTCTCTATGTGCGTTTCTCTTCTGTCATACCACAAACCTCCCATACTTCTCGTTTGCTGAAATAAGTCAGTTTTTGGTTTAATTTCCTGTTTCCTGTTTTGTCTATGAATTATGTTACAGAATATACGTATGCGTGCATGTGTATTATATATGGGTTGAAAGGTTAGTTGCGTATCCTTCACAGGACGTTGCAGAACCAACTTCAGCAGCCCCTGGCTGTTGTGTGGTTTCTCTAGGCAAATTTACGTCCAGTACTTTGCCATTGCTTTCTGGACAGTCGGCTTCTTGATACCACTGTCAAAACCAACGAAAGGCGCATGGCCCACAGCTGGGATCGAACCCGGCACCCCGGCATTACGAAACGTGTGCATCGACCTAGGCACAGAGCCGACGTATTATATATATAAAGATATAAACTAAATGTGTTTTCTGTTTCCTAAAAAAAGCCCACAGTTCCTGTTTCTGAATCCACAGTTCCAGTTTCTGAATCCACCGTTCCTGTTTCTGAATCCACAGTTCCTGCTTCTGAATCCACAGTTCCTGTTTCTGAATCCACAGTTCCTGTTTCTGAATCCACCGTTCCTGCTTCTGAATCCACAGTTCCTGTTTCTGAATCTACAGTTCCTGCTTCTGAATCCACAGCTCCTGCTTCTGAATCCACAGTTTCTGCTTCTGAATTCACAGTTTCTGCTTCTGAATCCACAGTTTTTGTTTGTGAATCGACAGCTTATGTTTGTGTCTATGAATTATGCCATATGATGTGTGTGTGTGTGTGTGTGTGTGTGTGTGTAAATGAGTATGAATCCTTTTATATATTCGCGAGCATTCTGTCATCTGACATTTCTTCCATTTTTCTCTGTGTAGTTAAATGAATTTTTTTTATCTCACATTTTATATTGACATTTTCTTGTTTGGTCTGTTAACTATGCCATCTGGTGTTTGATTGAGAGAGAGAGAGAGAGAGAGAGAGAGAGAGAGAGAGAGAGAGAGAGAGAGAGAGAGAGAGAGAGAGAGAGAGAGAGAGAGAGAAAGAGAGAGAGAGAGAGAGGAGGAAGAAGGGAGGAAGAGCTTCCCAAATAATGGTTTTGTTAGTGTCACAGTTTGACTGTGTCACAGTTTGTATGTCTGTATATGTGTGTGTACATGTCTAACTGCAACCCCCACCCCACCCCCCCCCCCCCCCACCCCCGGACCACCTGTCCAACTCCGTTTAACATTTAGTTTATGGGAATATATGACCACCTATCGAACTCCGTTTAACATTTAGTGTATTGGAATGGGAAATGTTTTTTTTTTTTTTTTTTTTTTGTAAATTAATTTCCTGGAAGTACATTTTTGGTCAAGAATTGACAACAATGCAATTCTGGTGACATTTCGACAATAAATCGTGACACGAATCCTGTTGTCTTTGGGATTACTAGGTAGTGATGTCTCAGCATCTTCATCTGGGTATGTGTGTGGGTGTTTGTGTGTGCCTAAATCTGTGTGTGCGTTTGTGTGTGTATAAAATGTGTTTAAATTATATAAAGTATATGTGTATAAACTCTAGCACGTTTTTAAACGTTCCCCCCATTTGCACTCTTTATATGTCAGAAGGCATCATACTGGAAGCCCCTCCCGAC